CTGTGAAACTACTTCAGAAACCAGGCTCAAAGAATCCACAAGATTCTTTCAAACTACTTCAAAAACAAAACACAAGGGGTCCCCGAGATCTCTTCAAACTACTTTAAAAACTGGGCTCAAAGAATCCACAAGATTCTTTCAAATGGCTTCAAAAACAAAACAAAAGTGATACACGAGGTTCTGTGAAACTACTTCAAAAGCCAGGCTCAAAAAATCCACAAGATTTGTTCAAAGTATTTCAAAAACTAGCCCTAATAGGTTTCCGACATTCTTTTAACTACTTCAAAACCAAAATAAATAAAGTCTCCGAGATTTTTTCGAAGTACTTATAAAAGTAATACAAAAGGGATCCCCGATATTTCTTTCAAAATTACTTCAAAAACCAGACACAAGGGGTCTCCGAGATTTTTTCGAAGTATTTATAAAAGTAATACAAAAGGGATCCACGATATTCTTTCAAAATTACTTCATAAACCAGAGACAAGGCGTCCCCGAAATTCTTACAAACTACTTCAAGAACAAAACAAATAAAGTCTCCGAGATTTTTTCGAATTACTTATAAAAGAAAAACGAAAGGGATCCCTGAGATACTTTCAAAATTACTTCAAATATCAGGCACAAGGGGTCCTCGAGATTTTCTAAACAATTTCAAAAACAGAATACAAGAGGTCAGAGAGATTCTTTCAGATTACTTGAAAAACAACACAAAGGATCCCTAACACTCTTTCAGACTACTTCAAAAACCAGGTTCAAAAAATCTACAAGATTCTTTGAGTGTACTTTGTTAAAACTAGGCCTAAGGGATTTCCGAGATTCTTTCAAACTACTTCAAAACCAAAACAAATCAAGTTTCCGAGATTTTTTCGAACTACATGTAAAAGTAAAACAAAAGGGATCCCCAAGGTTCTTTCAAAATTACTTTAAAAACCAAACACAAGGGATCCTTCACATTTATTCAAACTATTTCAAAAACCAGATACGACTGGTCTCCAAGATTCATTCAATCTACTTCAAAAACAAAACACAAGGGGTTCTTGAGGTTCATTCAAACTAGTTCAAAAACTAGGCCCAAGGGGCCTCCTAGATTCTTTCGATCTACTACAAGAGTAAAACAAAAGGAATCCCCGAGATTCTTTCAAAATTACTTCGAAAACCAGACACAAGAGATCCCCGAAATTCTTTCAAACTACTTCAAAAGCAAACCACAAAGGATCCCTGAGATGCTTTCAACCTACTTCAAAATAAAAAACAAAAGCGGTGTCCGAGATTTTTTAAACGACTTCAAAACAAAACAAGAGGAGTCCTCGAGATTCTCTCAAACTACTTTAAAAACCACATAGAAGATGTCCCCGAGATTCTTTCAAACTACTTCAAAAACAAAACACAAGAGGTCCCCAAGATCCTTTCAAATTACTTCAAAAACCAGGCTCAATGAATCCACAAGATTCTTTCAAACTACTTCAAAAACTAAGCTCAAGGGGTGTCCGAGATTCTTTCAACTACTTCAAAATCAAAACAAAGTCTCCGAGATTCTTTCGAATTACTGCAAGAGCAAAAGGACAGGAATGCGTTAGATTGTTTCAAAATTACTTCAAAAACAAAACACAAGCGGTTCCTGAGATTTTTCAGCCTACTTCAAGATAAAAAAAAGAGGTGTCCTAGACTGTTTTTAACGACTTTAAAAACAAAAAGAGAGTGGGTTCGAGATTCTCTCAAACTGCTTAAAAAAACAAGTAGAAGAGGTCCCCGAGATTCTTTCAAACCACTTCAAAAACAAACCACAAGGGGCCCCAAGATCCTTCCAAACTACTTCAAAAACCAGGCCCAAAAATCCACAAGAGTCTTTCAAAGGACTTCAAAAACTAGGCCTAAGGGGTCTCCGAGATTCTTTCAAAATTACTTCAAAAACAAAACATAGGGGGTCCCCGAGATTCTCTTAAACCACTTCAAATACTAGATAGAAGAGGTTCCCGAGATTCTTTCAATTACTTCAAAATCAAAACAAACAAAGTCTCCGAGATTCTTTCGAATTACTACAAGAGTAAAAGAACAGGAATCTCCGAGATTGTTTCAAAATTACTTCAAAAGCAAAGCATAAGCAGTCCCTGAGATTTTTCAGCCTACTTTAAAATAAAAAAAGAGGTCTCCTAGATTTTTTTTAACGATTTCAAAAACAAAAAGAGAGTGGGTTCGAGATTTTCTTAAACTACTTAAAAACCAGGTAGAAAAGGTCCCTGAGATTCTTTCAAACTACTTCAAAAACCAGTCTCAACGAATCCACAAGATTCTTTCAAAATACTTCAAAAACTAGCCCTAAGGGGTGTCCGACATTCTTTTAACTACTTCAAAACCAAAACAAATAAAGTCTCCGAGATTTTTTCGAAGTAGTTATAAAAGTAATACAAAAGGGATCCCCGATATTCTTTCAAAATTACTTCAAAAACCAGACACAAAGGGTCCCCGAGATTCTTTCAAATTACTTCAAAACCAAAACAAAAGGGATCCCCGAGATTTATTCAAATTACTTCATAAACCAGACACAAGCCGTCCCCGAGATTCTTACAAACTACTTCAAAACCAAAACAAACAAAGTTTCCGAGATTTTTTCGAACTACTTATAAAAGTAAAACACAAGGGATCCCCGAGATTCTTTCAAAATTATTTAAAAAACCAGACACAAGGGGTCCCCGAGATTCTTTCAAACTACTTCAAAAACAAAACACAAGGAATCCTTGAGATTCTTTCAATCTACTCCAAAATAAAAAACAAAAGTGGTCTCCGAGATTTTTTTAAACGACTTCAAAAACAAACCGAGGGGGGTCTTCGAGATTCTTTTAAACTACTTCAAATACCTGGTAGAAGAGGTCCCTGAGATTCTTTCAAACTACTTCAAAAACAAAACGAGAGGGGTCCCCGAGATTTTGTTAAACTACTTCAAAAACAAAACAAGAGGAGTCCTCAAGATTGTCTCAAACTACTTCAAAAACCACATAGAAGATGTCCCCGAGATTCTTTCAAACTACTTCAAAAACAAAACAAGAGAAGTCCTCGAGATTGTCTCAAACTACTTCAAAAATCAGGCTCAATGAATCCACAAGATTCTTTCAAACTACATAGTTTGAAAGAATCTCGCGGACCTCTCCCTTCTATCTGGTCTTTGAAGTCGTTTAAAAAAATCTCGGAGACCCCTTCTGTTTTTTATTTTGAAGTAGGTTGAAATAATCTCAGGAACCCTTTGTATTTTGTTTTTAAAGTAGTTTGAAAAAATCTCGGGTACCCCTTTTGTCTGGTTTTTGAAGTAGTTTGAAAGGATCTCAGGGGATCTATTTTGTTTTGTTTTTGAAGTAGTCTGAAAAAATCTCAGGGACCTCTTGAAGAATGTATAAAATTTGGATTCAGGAAAATTCCTCATTTCCTGATGGTTCCATCTATCCCTCATTAGACTACCAATAAACCCTACTTAATTACGATTTTGCATTTAATACCAGGAACTACTCATTCAAGGGGTCAACGAAAGATGAACCTGGAACTAATTTATCTCATTCAAAAATATTTTCACTGGAAACGTGATCACAACAAAAGTTTTTTAATTACAACTATAGCAAAGACGTCCATGACAGTTAATATTTTTGTCTTTTTTTAACTGTAAAGGTTACTTTATTGTCTTTGTTTAAGTGACTTCTTAACCATCCGCAAAAATATTGTTCTTGGTAGATAACCTTGTCTTATCATTTATTTCAGTTAATTTCACAACTCTGGTATATTTATTGTGTCAAAGTCGATTAAAAAAGACGTAAAATTTCCGTGGTTTCCGAAAAATTAAACTACCAAATACAGTAATAAAACTTTTATTGTCAAAAGTAGCTATAAAACATCAAATAAGTAACCACAGACGACATTTAGAGGAAATTGTCTGTGATGGAACTCAAACTTTTCTTCGGGGAAGTGAAAATTTTCGTGGCGGAAGTCAAAGTTTCCAGCGGGACCTGCTTACAAGGAGCCACTACGGCATCAAAGAACCCGAGGATGGCATTTCTGGTCTTCTGGTTTTTGCAGTGAGTTGTGGCACGTGTTTGGATACAACCTCTTAGAGTAGGTGTGGCGCTACAAACGCAGTCATTACTTCAGTGTCCTGTAAACCCTTACCCAAATATACTAACCTACAAATCTCGATTTTGCTCGGAATATCGTCTTTTTCTCCGAACTTTACAGAAAGCTCTTTCAAGTTTTCGATACACTGGTCTTCTTGTTCGTCCTCGACGTCTTCCCACAGGCACGGATTTGCCAGTTCTGGAATATATGGTGTGTTATTTTATACAAATTGACTTGAGGAGTTACGTACCAAAAATGGATTCGCCAGTTTGTTTGCACAAGAAGTCGGCTACTGAAACGATACTTTCGAGACCAAATTTGGGTAGTCCTTTGGCTCTTGGGGGCAGGCAGTCGTCGATTACTTGGATCAAAGGGGCGGTGCAGTTCAAGGTGTAACTTTGGATGGCGTGGCAAATGGTCAAGGAATCGTCAGCTTTGTCGTCGCACTCTTTGAAGAATTTAACGGCTTGCTGAAAAAAAAAGGTTACAAAAAGAAACGACAATGAATTGACATACTTCTAATTTTTCGGTAACACCAGGACAATGTTCTTCCAGTTTCTGGAAACCTTCATCGATATTTTCTTTGTGTGACGTCAAGTACTTTTTGAGGTGTTTGGATTTGATTTCTTCCAGGACTTCCTCGCTGGAGTCGCTTTTCACGCCCCCGATAACTGCAAATCAAAAATATTGGTATCAACGAAACGTGATAAAACCCCATTCTTCTACCTGCAAAAAGAGCAAAAGCTACAAAAATGTACTTCTTCATGGTGACGACACTTGTTTTCGTTCACACTGATATTAAAAATTCAATCTTTAGTTCTTTTTATAGTGAACGCCCAGCGATTATCGTCTAAACGACTTCCAGTGTTGATGCACAAAGGTTATCAATCGCTAAATACAAAAACATGTTTGGATTATATAACTTTTATGTTTAAAGATTATCATTTGCTTTATCGCACACAATATTTCAAAGTTGAATGAAAAAATAAACAGAATAAACATTTAATAATAATTTACACTTCGTTGATGTGGCTACAAGGGGCCACGAAGGCATCGAACAATCCAAGCGCGGCATCTTGAGTTTTCTGGCACTTGCAAGAAGCCACAGTCTCGGTTTTGACACAGCTTCTGAAGCCAGTAATTGTGCTAAAACAAAACTCTTTGGTTTCGGCCAAACCCGACTTAAACCCACTCACTTGCAAATTTCTGTCTTGGTTGGAATTTGCTCGGGATCGTTTTGGTCAATCAGACCGTTAACTTCCTGAATCACTGTAGCGAATTTCTTGTCACACTCAGTAGGCACGTTACTCTCGTTTTCGGAGTGTGCTACTGCAAATCCCCACAAACAAGGATTCGCTAGCTCTATAAACCAGAATTACTAGACTATTTTTTTGACACGATTGTCTAGTTTACCAAAAATTGTCTCCCCGTTTTGTTTGCACAAAAAGTCGGCTACCGAAACCAGGCTCTTGAGGCCAAGTGTGGGCAAGCCTCTGGCTTTTGGGGGCAGACAATCGTCGACCACTTTGAACAAGGGGGCGGTGCAGTTAATGCTGGAGGTTTGGATTTGTTGGCAAATTGTCAACGCGTCGTCGACTTTGTCGTCACATTCTACGAAGGATTTGATGGCTTCCTGAAAAAGGATTTTTAGTATGAAAAAACGGTGATTGATGGTTTTTTGCCTTTAGTTTGTTGGTAACTCCAGGGCAGTGTTGTTCCAATTTTTCTAGACCTTCGTCTACGTGTTCCTTGTTTTTGGATAGGAGCTTTTTGACGTGTTTCGATTTGACGGTGTCGATCACTTCTCCGCTGGAATCGCAGCGAAAGCTGCTGAAAACTGCGAAGAGTTAGATTTGACAAAAAAGTGACCAACTATAAAATAACAAAAAGGTAATTTTTTTACAAAAAATTTCTCACCGGAAAATAAGGCTAGTGCAACAAAGATGTACTTCATTTTGAAGGTTGTATTCAGTTGTGCAAGAATCTGGACAAAATGGCTTTATATAGGAATGCCCCACTCAAGTCATCTTAATTAGATAACTGCATTTTAATGATACTCGAGGTTATCGTTTTAAATGCAACAAAATGAAACGGCTGCAAATATTGATTTACTATATAATTTTTAGTAAGATATTTTAACACTAAAATAAAAAGGTTATAATTACGATAAGTCAAGTCAAATAAAATTGATTATTTATAAATTTCTTTGTATATAATTTCTTAATTTTTAAATTTGTTCAAAAATTTCTTTGCAACTTGTATTTTTTGTTTATAAATTTGTGCCTTTACAAAATTTGTTGACAGATTTCTTAATTTTTTGTTTATTTATAAGTGTACTTTTCATAAATTTTTTTAATTATAAAAACAAATCTATTTATTACTTTGCTTACTTATAATTTTTTGCCAAACTTGTTTATAAATTTGTATAATTGCAAATTTATTCAAAAAAATTGTTTATAAATATGTATGTTCAAAATATATTTATCTAAAAATTTGTTAATTGATAATTTGTTTAATAAGAGAATTTCTTTATTTATTTATATATTTGTTTATGAGTTGGTTATTTATGATTTCTTTCATGAATTTGTTTATAGATTTGTTTACTCAAAAATTTGTTTATTTATACATTTTTTTATGAAACATTTTTTTATAAATTTGTCATTACATTTTTTCATTTATAATTCTTTATAAATTTGTTTATAAATTTATTTGTTAGTAAACTTATTTATAAATTTGTTCATAAATATGTTTAAAAATTTATTTATTTAAAAATTTGTTAATCGTTAATTTATTTAAGAAGATAATTTGTTTATTTACGCATAAATTTATTTATTAAAGAGTTTGTTTATAAATATGACCATAAATTTGTTCATAAACTTCTTTATTTATTTTTATATTTGTTTATGAGTTTGTTTATTTATTATTTTTTTCATGAATTTGTTTATCGATTTGTTTATATCTTTGTTCATCTATCAATTTGTTTATACATTTATTTATTAATAAACTGGTTTATAAATTTGTTCATAAATGTGTTTAAAAATGTGTTTATTTAAAAATTTGTCAATCGATAATTTATTTAAGAAAAGATCTTGTTTATTAAAAAATTTGTTTATAAATTTGAGCATAATTTTGTTCATAAACTTCTTTATTCATAAATTTGTTTGTTTTTATATTTATTTATGATTTTTTTCATGAATTTGTTTATCCAAAAGTTTGTTTATTTATACATTTGTTTGTAATTTTATCTCTTTATACATTTGTTTATGAAATAATTTTTTTATAAATTTGCCAATACATTTTTCATTTATAATTCTTTATAAATTTGTTTATAAATTTGTTCATCTATCAATTTGTTCATAAATATGTATGTTTAAAAATGAATTTTTTTAAAAAATTGTTGATCGATAATTTACTTAAGAAGAGAATTTGTTTATTAAAAAATGTGTTTATAATATTGATCATAAATTTGTTCATGAACTTCTTTATTTATAAATTTGTTTATTTTTATATTTCTTTATAAATTTGTTTATGAGTTTGTTTATTTATGATTTTTTTCATGAATTTGTTTATCGATTTGTTTATTCAAAAATTTGCTTACTTATACAATTGTTCGTAACTTTGTGTCTTTATACATTTGTTTATCTAACTTTTTTAAACACTTTTTAAGGTACAATCTGCATTGTTTAAATTAGATTAATTTTTATTAACTATGTCTCATTAGTTTTAGGTCTAAATTACTTTGTAAATTGTCTGTTTGTATTTTTCTGTTGGCAATTAAGTAACAATAAAAAATAAACAACAATAAACTTGTCAATACACTTTTTTATTTATAATTTTTTCATAAATTTGTTTATATCTTAGTTCATCTATCAGTTTGTTTATACATTTATTTATTAATAAACTTGTTTATAGATTTGTTCTAAAATATATTTAAAAATGTATTTATTTAAAAATTTGTCGATCGATAATTTATTTAAGAAGAGATCTTGTTTATTAAAAAATTTGTTTATAAATTTGAGCATAAATTTGTTCAAAAACTTCTGTATTCATAAATTAGATTATTTTTATTATTGTTTATGAGTTTATTTATTTATAATTTTTTTCATTTTTGTTTTCAAAAGTTTGTTTATTTATGCATTTGTTTGTAATTTTATCTCTTTATACATTTGTTAATAAATATGTATGTTTAAAAATAAATTTATTTAAAAATTTGTTGATCGAAAATTTATTTAAGAAGAGAATTCGTTCATTAAATTTTTTTTTTATAAATTTAATCATAAATTTGTTCTTGAACTTCTTTATTCATAGATTTATTTACTTTTATAATTGTCTATAAATTTGTTTATAAATTTCTTTATTCAAAAGTTTGTTTATTTTTACATTTGTTTGTAAATTTATGTTTATATACATTTGTTTATGAAATATTTTTTTTATAAATTTGTCAATACATTTTTTCATTTATAATTTTTTCATAAATTTGTTCATCTATCAATTTGTTCATAAATATGTTTAAAAATAAATTTATTTAAAAATTTGTTGATCGATAATTTATTTAAGAGAATTTGTTTATTCATAAAATTGTTTATAAATTTGATCATACATTTGTACCTGAACTTCTTTATTCATAAATCCGTTTACTTTTATATTTGTTTATAAATTTGTTTATATGTTTGTTTATTTAAGATTTTTTTCATGAATTTGTTTATAGATTTGTTTATTCACAAATTTGTTTATTTATACATTTGTTTTTGAAACTTTTTTTTATAAATTTGTCAATATATTTTTTATATATAATTTTTTCATAAAATTTCTATCAATTTGTTTATACATTTATTTATAAATAAACTTGTTTATAAATTTGTTCATAAATAGGTTTAAAAATGTATTTATTTAAAAATTTGTTAATCGATAATATATTTGAGAAGGGAATTTGTTTATGCACGCATAAATTTGTTGATAAATTCGTTTATGACCTTGTTTATTTATGATTTTTTTCATGAATTTGTTTAGGAGTTTGTTTATGTATACATTTGTTTGTAAATTTGTGTCCATATACATTTGTTTATGACACATTTTTTTTTAATTTGTCAATACATTTTTTTATTTATAATTTTTTCATATATTTATTTATAATTCTTCATCTATCAATTTGTTTATACATCTATTTTATAATAAACTTGTTTATAAATTTGTTCATAAATATGTTTAAAATGTATTTATTTAAAAATTTGTTAATAGATAATTTATTTAAGAAGAGAATTTGTTTATTCACACATACATTTGTTTATAAATTTGACCATAAATTTGTTAATACATTTTTTTATTTACCATTTTTTCATAAATTTGTTTATATATTTATTCATATATCAATTTGTTTATACATTTATTTATTAAAAAAGTTGTTTATAAATTTGTTCACAAATACGTTTAAAAATGTATTTATTTAAAAATTTGTTTATTCACGCATAAATTTGTTTATTAAAAAATTTGTTTATAAATTTGACCATAAATTTGTTCACAACCTTCTTTATTTATAAATTTGTTTATTTTTATATTTGTTTATATATTTGGTTATGAGTTTGTTTATTTATGATTTTTTTCATGAATTTGTTAATAGATTAGGTTATTCAAAAATTTGTTTATAAATTTTATCATAAATTTGTTGATGAACTTCTTTATTCATAAATTTATTTACTTTTATAATTGTTTATAAATTTGTTTATGAGTTTGTTTATTTTGATTTTTTCAAGAATTTGTTTACTCAAAAGTTTGTTTATTTATACATTCGTTTGTAAATTTACCTCTTAATACATTTGTTTATGAAATATTTTTTTTATAAATTTGTTCATCTATCAATTTGTTCATGAATATGTTTAAAAATTAATTTATTTAAAAATTTGTCGATCGATAATTTATTTAAGAAAATTTGTTTATTAATAAAATTCTTTATTCATAAATTCGTTTACTTTTATATTTGTTTATAAATTTGTTTATATGTTTGTTTATTTATGATTTTTTTTCATGAATTTGCTTATAGATTTGTTTATTCACAAATTTGGTTATTTATACATTTGTTTTTGAAACTTTTTTTATAAAGTTGTCAATACATTTTATTATTTATAATTTTTTCATAAATTTGTACAACTATCAATATGTTTATACATTTATTTATTAATAAATTTGTTTATAAATTTGTTCATAAATATGTTTAAAATTGTATTTATTTAAAAATTTGTCAATCGATAATATATTTGAGAAGGCAATTTGTTTATTCAGGCATAAATTTGTTTATAAATTTGTTGATAAACTTCTTTATTCATAAATTTGTTTATTTATATATTTGTTTATGAATTGGTTTATGAGTTTGTTTATTTATGATTTTTTTCATGAATTTGTTTAGGGATTTGTGTATGTATACATTTGTTTGTAAATTTGTGTTTTTATACATTTGTTTATGAAACATTTTTTTTTATCAATTTGTCAATACATTTTTTATTTATAATTTTTTCATAAATTTGTTTATATTTCTTCATCTATCAATTTGTTTATACATTTATTTATTAATAAACTTGTTTATAAATTTGTTCATAAATATGTTCAAAATGTATTTGTTTAAAAATTTGTTAATCGATAATTTTTTTAAGAAAAGAATTTGTTTATTCACACATACATTTGTTTATAAATTTGACCATAAATTTGTTCATAAACTTCTTTATTCATAAATTTGTTAATTTTTATATTTGTTGAGTTTTTTCATGAATTTGTTTATAGATTTGTTTATTCAAAAATTTGTTTATTTATACCTTTATTTGTAAATTTGTACATTTGTTTATGAAATTTTTTTTATTAATTTGTTAATACATTTTTTTATTTACAATTTTTTCTTAAATTTGTTTATATATTTATTCATCTACCAATTTGTTTATACATTTATTTATTAAAAAAGTTGTTTATAAATTTGTTCATAAATACGTTTAAAAATGTATTTATTTAAAAATTTGTTTATTCACGCATAAATTTGTTTATAAATTTGACCATAAATTTGTTCACAACTTTCTTTATTTATAAATTTGTTAATTTTTATATTTATTTATAAATTTGGTTATGAGTTTGTTAATTTATGATTTTTTTCATGAATTTGATTATAGATTAGGTTTTGCAAAAATTTGTTTATTTATATATTTGTTGTCTATTAATTTGTTTATTCATTTATTTATTAATAAATTTTTTGAAGGTATTTGTTTATTAAAAATTTGTTTACAGATTTCTTTATTTATAACTTTATTTGAGATTGCCTATTAATAAATTTGTTGTTTTACAAAATTGTTTATAAATTGTTGATTATTTATAAATTTGTTTATAAAGTATTTTACTAACCCCATTCCTCTTCTACCTTACGATGTAGAGGTACTTTTTGACTTGGAAAACCCATTATTACGTATTTGTTTGATAACGTCTAAAAATTAAAGGAAACAATTTATTGTAACAATAAAAATTGTTTCCACTAATTAACCACGGTAAAAGTACTTTTGATGATAGCCATATTTTTTGCCATATAATTTGCCACTAATTTATTTATAAATTTGTTTGCTAAATTTCTTTCTATTTACATTTGTTTATTTATATGTTAAATAAATGTAAATATTAATTTGAATTGGGCTCAATTTATTTAGGCAAAACTTTCCTCACTCCTGAAGTACAGCCTAATAAATCCCGTTTCTTTGAAAAATTTTAAAATTAGATTTTGCGAAATTTTATATTTCATGTGATAACCTATAAATTAACAAAGTGTTTATCAGGATAGGATTCCAGTTGCCGCGAGCAGAGGTCAAGTTCAACGCTAAGTAAATAATTCCACTTTAGAGTAATTGTGAAAAATCAAGGATGATTCATAAACCACGAGTACAGGAGCCTGTTATTTTATAAAATTTAAATCGTGTTTACTGTTAAAAGTTTTGAGGAAACATTATATATCACAATGAGCACCGATAAATAGACGGAAACGAGTGACCTATTTTTCGTACTCTTGGGGTCATGAAAGGTCGAAAAACATGATAGTAGCCATTCGTCCGATGGACCCTACGACCTTCGTTTACGCAGATAAAATCAAACAACAGGAAAGTATTAACCATTTTATTTCAAATAAGTATATACAAATTATAGATGGTTTCAAACATTATACTTCATTGATGTTGCTACAAGGAGCAATCAAAGCGTTGAAGAGTCCATTAGAGACATCTTTCGTCTTCTGGTTTTTACAAGTAGCGGCAACATCGCGTTGGATGCAGCTCCTCAGGCTGGTGGCAACACTGAAACCCACGTCATCCCATAACCCTTGTCCAAACATGTCTCAAAATACTCACGTGCAAATTTCAGACTGTGTAGGAATGTCGTCTTTACCTACATATTTATCAGCAAACTCATCTATCTTCTGTTCGCACTCATCATTTTCGGTAGTTTCTTCTGATTCTTCCCACAAGCACGGATTCGCCAGTTCTGCAAGAAACCTAATTATTATTTAGTTCTTGTAAAAAAAAACTATGACAACCGAAAATCGACTCTCCGGTTTGTTTGCACAAGAAATCGGCCACGGAGAGCACGCTCTTGAGAGCCAGAGTGGGCAGACCTTTGGCGTTTTGGGGAAGACAGTCGTCGATCACCTTGAGCAAGGGTGTGGTGCAGTTCAAGGTGTAGCTCTGGATGGCTTGACAAATCGTCAAGGAGTCGTCGACTTTGTCGTCACATTCCATGAAGGACTTGATGGCGGCTTTCAGTTTTTCGCTGACGCCGGGGCATTTTTCTTCGAGTTTTTCGAGGCCTTCGTCGAGGTGCTCTTTGTTTTGGGTGAGGAGCTTCTTGACGTGCTTGGACTTGACGCTGTCGATGACTTCTTCGCTGGAGTCGCACCTCACGCTGTTGATAACTGGAAATTATCAACAACGTGATAATTTTGTATTAAAAAATAATAAAGGTTTGAACTTACCAGCGAATAGGGCAAAAGCGACGAAAATGTACTTGTTCATGGTGGTCTTCTTTAACTCAATAGTTGCTCAACTTTGGAAAATATCTCTTTATATATGAAACCGCTACTGATTGTGCGATGAAACTATTCCAGATGCGGTGTAAAAGGTTATCGTTTTTTCAAAATAACAACACTCATTATGTAACGAGTGACAACTAATTATTATTATTTTTCATGATTAAAGTATTAATGTTCAGCTGTTTTAAGTCTAAATCAAACTCCAGGAAAAGTTAAAAATCGTTTTATTTTAAACAGATCAAAACCATATTTCATGTACTGATGGTTTCAAAAATTACACTTCGTTGATGTTGCTACAAGGGGCAACCAAAGCATCAAAAAGCCCATTGGCGACGTCCTTCGTCTTCTGGTTCTTACAGTGAGCACTAACATCTCTTCGTACGCAGCTCTTGTAGCCTGTGGCAAGACTGAAACCCCACATTCATCCATTACCCCATCCAACAACCCCCCAAAAATACTCACGTGCAAATTTCAGCCTGTGTCGGAATGTCGTCTTTACCCTCATATTTTTGAGTAAACTGATCTAACTTCTGTTCGCATTCATCATTTTCGTTTTCTTCCGAATCTTCCCACAGGCACGGATTCGCCAGTTCTGCAAAAACCTAATTACTATTCAGCTCTTGTAACCAACTCTCTGCCAACCGAAAATCGCCTCTCCAGATTGTTTGCACAAGAAATCGGCCACTGAAACCAAACTCTTAAGACCCAGAGTGGGAAGACCTTTAGCGTTTTGCGGAAGACAGTCGTCGATCACCTTAAGCAACGGTGCAGTGCAGTTCAAGGTGTAGCTCTGGATGGATTCGCAAATCGTCAAGGAGTCGTCGACTTTGTCGTCACATTCCACGAAGGATTTGACGGCGGCTTTCAGTTTCGGGGTGACTCCGGGGCATTTTTGTTCCAGCTTGTCCAAGCCTTCGTCAAGGTGTTCCTTGTTTTGGTTGAGGAGCTTCTTGACGTGTTTGGACTTGACTTTATCGATGACTTCTTCGCTGGAATCGCACCTCACGCTGTTGATAACTGGAAATTGTCGACAGGTTTTGTTTTAAAAAATAATCAATTTTTTATAAAGGTTTGAACTTACCAGCGAATAGGGCAAAAGCGACGAAAATGTATTTGTTCATGGCGGTCGTTTTCAACTCAACTGTTGCTAAAAATTAAAATTGTCGCTTTATATATGAAACCGCCATCGATTATCCGATGCAATTATTCCATGCGCTGGTGTGAAAGGTTATCGTTTTTATAAAATAACAACACCCATTATATATAGATTAATATCTAACTCGTTGTTTTTTATTGCTGAGTTCCTGGTGTTAGGAATAAAAGAAGCTGGTACGTTTTTACCTCAACTAGGAAAGTATGGCAAAATACTATTAGACAATGGTTAACTTAATGTTTTCTCGATGTGTCATAGCTAGTACAATTTGAAAAAGTATGTCCCCCGTTTACGTGTGTTTGTTTACTGCGGCGATTTTTTTAACAGGTAAGCTCCGAAAATGCTGGAATAATTGTGGCGTCATCTCCAAATTTTACTAAAGAAGCCATACTACTGACTTTTTTTTTAATGCCAAAAAGTCTCGGGAACCCACGGTCTTTTTTTTGTCAAAGAATCTCGGAAGCCATTAGTGTCTTTTTTTATTGCCAAAGATTTTCGGGAGTTCCTAATGTCTTTTTTTAAATGCCAAAGAATTTCAGAAGCCTCTAGCGTATTTTTTTTAGTGCCAAATAATCTCGGAAGCCCCTAGTATATTTTTTTAGTAACGAATAATCTTTGGGATCCCTAGTACCAAAGTGTCTCGGGAAACCCTAGTGTATTTTCTAAGTGCCGAAGAATCTCGGGACCGCCTAGTGTTTTTTTTTAGTGCCAAAGAATGTCGGGGGTCCCTAGGGTTTTTTTTTACATGCCAAACAATCTTGGGAACCTTCAGTATCCTTTTAAATGTCAAAGAATCTCGGCACCCCTAGCGTGTTTTTTAAATTCCGAAGAATCTCGGATGCCAAACGGACTCAGAGATCCCTAGTGTCCTTTTTTAATTGCCAAACAATTTCTAGGACTTCTGCCTTTTTTTACAACGTCTCTGGAATCACTAGTGTTTTTTTTGTGCCAAAAAATGTAAAGGGTCCCTAGTGTTTTTTTCTAAACACCAAAAATTCTTCCCAGCCCCCAGTGTCTTTTTAAATGCCAAAGAATCTCAGGAAAAACTGGTGTCCCTTTTTTTAAATCCCAAAGAGTCTCGAAAATTCCTAGTGTATTTTTCTAAGTGCTAAAGTATCTCGAGGACCCTTTGTCTGTTTTTTGATACCAAAGCGTTTCGGGAACCACTAGTGTGTTTTTTTAAATGCCCAAGAATTGCAAGAAACCATAATGTCTTTTTTTAAATTCCAAAAAATTTTGGAAATCCTCAGTGTCTTTTCAAATGCCAAAGAATCTTTGGGATTTCTGGTGTCTTTTTTTAATTGCAAAAAGTCTCGGAAACCCCTAGTGTATTTTTCTAATTTCCAAAGAATGTCGGGGCCCTTAATGTGTTTTTTTAAATGCCAAAGAGTCTCGGGAACCCCTAGTGTATTTTCAAAGTGCCAAAGAATCTCGGGAGCTCCTAGTGTCTTTTTTTTAATGGCAAAGAATGTCGGGGGTGCCTAGGGTCTTTTTTTAAATGTCAAACAATCTTGGGAACCCTCAGTATCTTTTTAAATGTCTAAGAATCTCGGGGACCTCTAGTGCCTTTTTTTAAATGCCTAAGAGTCTCTGGAACCACTAGTGTTTTTTTTGTGGCAAAGAATGTAAGGGGTCCCTAGTGTCTTTTTCTAAATGCCAAAAATTCTTCCCAGCCCCCACTGTCTTCTTAAATGCCAAAGAACCTGAGGGACCACTGGTGTCCCAAAGAGTCTCGGAAATCCCTAGTGTATTTTTCTAAGTTCCAAAAAATCTCGGGGACTCCGAGTGTAACTTTTCTAAGTGCTAATGAATCTCGAGGACACTTTGTTTGTTTTTTTAATACCAAAGTGTTTCAGGAAGCATTAGTGTGTTTTTTTAAATGACAAAAAGTCTCCAGAAACCATAGTGTTTTTTTTTTTTTAGTGGCAAAGAAAGTCGGAAGTCCCTAGTGTCTTTATTTAATGCCAAGAAATTTTGAAAACCCTCAGTTTCTTTTCAAATTCCAAAGAATCTCAGGGATCTGTGGTGTCTTTTTTTAATGCCCAAAAGTCTCGGAAACCCCTAGTGTATTTTTCTAAGTTCCAAAGAATCTGGGGGACCCCGAGTGTAATTTTTCTAAGTGCTAATGAATCTCGGGGACACTTTGTCTGTTTTTTTAATACCAAAGTGTTTCAGGAAGCATTAGTGTGTTTTTTTAAATGACAAAAAGTCTCCAGAAACCATAGTGTTTTTTTTTTTAGTGGCAAAGAAAGTCGGAAGTCCCCAGTGTCTTTTTTTAAATGCCAAGAAATTTTGAAAACCCTCAGTGTCTTTTCAAATGCCAAAGAATCTCGGGGATCTGTGGTGTCTTTTTTTAATGCCCAAAAGTCTCTGAAACCTCTAATGTATTTTTCTAAGTTCCAAAGAAACTCGGGAACCGTTAGTGTGTTTTTTTTTAATGCCAAAGTGTCTCGAGAGCCCCTAGTGTATTTTCCAAGTGCCCAAGAATCTCAGGAGCTGCTAGTGTCTTTTTTTAAGGGCAAAGAATGTCGGGGGTCCCTAGGGTCTTTTTTAATTGTCAAACGATCTTGGAAACCCTCAGTATCTTTTTAAATGTCAAAAAATCTTGGGAACCCCTTGTGGGTTTTTTAAATTCCGAAGGATCTGGGATGCCAAACAGACTCAGGGGCCCCTAGTGTCCTTTTTTAACTGCCAAAAATCTCGGGCAACTCTAGTATCTTTTTTTAAATATCTAAGAGTCTCTGGAACCATTAGTGTCTTTTTTTGCGGCAAAGAATGTAAGGGGTCCCTAGTGTTTTTTAAATACCAAAAATCACCCCAGCTCCCACTGTCTTTTTAAATACCAAAAAATCTCAGGGACCACTGGTGCCCCTCTTTTTATATCCTAAAGAGTCACGGAAATCCCTAGTGTATTTTTCCAAGTGCCAAAGAATCTCGGAAACCCCTAGTGTATTTATTTTTCTAAGTGCTAAAGAATCTCGAGGACCCTTTGTGTGTTTTTTTTGTACCAAAGTGTTTCGGAAACCATTAATGTGTTTTTTCAATGGCCAAAGAATCTCGAGGAGACATTGTATCTTTTTTTTTAGTGGCAAATAATGTCGGGAATCCCTAGTGTCTTTTTTTAAATGCCCAGAGATTTTCGAAACCCTCAGTGTCTTTTCTAATGCCAAAGAATCTCGGGGATCTCTGATGTCTTTTTTTAATGCCCAAGAGTCTCTGAAACCTCTAGTGTATTTTTCTAAGTTCCAAAGAATCTCGGGAATCGTTAGTGTGTTTTTTTTAAATGCCAAAGTGTCTCGGGGACTCCTAGTGTATTTTCCAATTGGCAAAGAATCTCGGGAGCTACTAGTATCTTTTTCTAAGGGCAAAGAATGTCGGGGGTCCCTAGGGTCTTTTTTCATTGTCAAACGATCTTGGAAACACTGAGTATCTTTTTAAATGTCAAAAAATCTTGGGAACCCCTTGTGGGTTTTTTAAATTCCGAAGGATCTGGGATGCCAAACAGACTCAGGGGCCCCTAGTGTCCTTTTTTAATTGCCAAAAATCTCGGGCAACTCTAGTATCTTTTTTTAAATGTCTAAGAGTCTCTGGAACCACTAGTGTCTTTTTTTGCGGCAAAGAATGTAAGGGGTCCCTAGTGTCTTTTTTTAAATGCCAAAAATTCTTCTCAGTCCCCACTGTCTTTTTAAATACCAAAAAATCTCAGGGACCACTGGTGCCCATCTTTTTATGTCCCAAAGAGTCACGGAAATTCCTAGTGTATTTTTCCAAGTTCCAAAGAATCTCGTGGACCCCGAGTGTAATTTTTCTAAGTGCTAATGAATCTCGGGGACACCTTGTCTGTTTTTTAAATACCAAAGTGTTTCAAGAACCATTGGTGTGTGTTTTTTTAAATGCCAAAAAATCTCGAGAAGCCATAGTGTCTTTTTTTTAGTGGCAAAGAAAGTCTGAAGTCCCTAGTGTTTTTTTTAAATGCCAAAAAATTTTGAAAACCCTCAGTGTCTTTTCAAATGTCGAAGAATCTCGGGGTTCTCTAGTGTCTTTTTCTAATGCGAAAGAGTCTCGGAAACCCCTAGTGTATTTTTCTAAGTTCCAAAGAATCTCGGGAGGTGCTAGTGTCTTTTTTTTAGGGCAAAGAATGTCGGGAACCTCTAGTGTGTTTTTTAAATTCCGAAGAATCTTGGATGCCAAACAGACTCAGGGGTCCCTAGTGTCCTTTTTTAATTTCCAAAAAATCCCGGGGACCTCTAGTGCCTTTTTTTAAATGCCTAAGAATCTCTGGAACCACTAGTGTCTTTTTGTTTGGTAAAGGATATAAGGGGTCCCTAGTGTCTTTTTTTAAATGCCAAAAATTCTTCCCAGCCCCCATTGTCTTCTTAAATCCCAAAGAGTCTCGGAAAGCCCTAATGTATTTTTCTAAGTGCTAATGAATCTCGGGGACACTTTGTCTGTTTTTTAAATACCAAAATGTTTCAGGAACCATTAGTGTGTGTTTTCTTAAATGCCAAAAAATCTGGAGAAAACATAGTGTCTTTTTTTAGTGGCAAAGAAAGTCTGAAGTCCCTAGTGTTTTCTTTAAATGCCAAAAAATTTTGAAAACCCTCAGTGTCTTTTTAAATGTTAAAGAATCTCGGGGATCTCTAGTGTCTTTTTTTAATGCCAAAGAGTCTCGGAAACCCCTAATGTATTTTTCGAAATTCCAAAGATTCTCGGGGACCCTTAGTCTATTTTTTTAAATGCCAAAGTGTCTCGGGAACCCCTAGAGTTTTTTCCAAGTGCCAAAGAATCTCGAGAATTGCTACTGTCTTTTTTTAGGGCAAAGAATGTCGGGAACTTCTAGTGTGTTTTTTAAATTCCAAAGAATCTTGGATGCCAAACAGACTCAGGGATCCCTAGTGTCCTTTTTTAATTACCAACAAATCTCGGAAACCTCTAATTCCTTTTTTTAAATGCCAAAGAATCTCTGGAACCACTAGTGTTTTTTTGTGGCAAAGAATGTAAGGGGTTCCTAGTGTCTTTTTTTAAATGCCAAAAATTCTTCCTAGCCCCAACTGTCTTCTTAAATGCCAAAGAATTTCAGGGACCACTTGTCTCCCTCTTTATAGATCCCAAAGAGTCTCGGAAATCCCTAGTGTATTTTTCTAAGTGCCAGAGAATCTCGGAAACCCCGAGCGTAATTTTTCTAAGTGCTAATGAATCTCGGGGGCACTTTGTCTGTTTTTTAAATACCAAAGTGTTTCAGGAACCATTAGTGTGTGTTTTTTTAAATGACAAAAAATCTCGAGAAATCATAGTGTCTTTTTTTTAGTGGCAAAGAAAGTCTGAAGTCCCTAGTGTTTTTTTTTAATTGTCAAAAAATTTTGAAAACCCTCAGTGTCTTTTCAAATGTCGAAGAATCTCGGGGATCTCTAGTGTCTTTTTTTAATGCGAAAGAGTCTCGGAAACCCCTAATGTATTTTTCTAAGTTCTAAGGTATCTCGGGGACCCTTAGTCTGTTTTTTTTAAATGCCAAAGTGTCTCGGGAACCCCTAGTGTTTTTCCCAAGTGCCAAAGAATCTCAAGAGGTGCTAGTGTCTTTTTTAGGGCAAAGAATGTCGGGAACTTCTAGTGTGATTTTTAAATTCCGAAGAATCTTGGATGCCAAACAGACTCAGGGATCCCTAGTGTTTTTTTAATTACCAACAAATCTCGGGAACCTCTAATGCCTTTTTTTCAATGCCTAAGAATCTCTGGAACCATCACCAGATTTTTGTGGCAAATAATATAAGAGGTTCCTAGTGTTTTTTTTTTAAATGCCAAAAATTCTTCCCAGTCCTAACTGTCTTCTTAAATGCCAAAGAATTTCAAGGACCACTGGTGTCCCTCTCTATAAATCCCAAAGTGTCTCGGATATCCCTAGTGTATTTTTCTAAGTGCCAGAGAATCTCGGAAACCCCGAGTGTAATTTTTTTAAGTGCTAATGAATCTCGGGGACACTTTGTCTGTTTTTTAAATACCAAAGTGTTTCAGGAACCATTAGTGTGTGTTTTCTTAAATGCCAAAAAATCTGGAGAAAACATTGTGTCTTTTTTTGTGGCAAAGAAAGTCTGAAGTCCCTAGTGTTTTCTTTAAATGGCAAAAAATTTTGAAAACCCTCAGTGTCTTTTCAAATGTCAAAGAATCTCGGGGATCTCTAGTGTCTTTTTTTAATGTCAAAGAGTCTCGGAAACCCCTAATGTATTTTTCGAAATTCCAAAGAATCTCGGGGACCCTTAGTCTATTTTTTTAAAGGCCAAAGTGTCTCAGGAACCCCTAGTGTTTTTTGCAAGTGCCAAAGAATCTCGAGAGGTGCTAGTGTCTTTTTTTAGGGCAAATAATGTCGGGAACTTCTAGTGTGATTTTTAAATTCCGAAGAATCTTGGATGCCAAACAGACTCAGGGATCCCTAGTGTCCTTTTTTAATTACCAACAAATCTCGGGAAGATCTAATGCCTTTTTTTAAATGCCTAAGAATCTCTGGAGCCACTAGTGTCTTTTCTTGTGGCAAAGAATGTAAGGGGTCCCTAGCGTCTTTTTTTAAATGCCAAAAATTCTTCCCAGCCCCCACTGTCTTCTTAAATCCCAAAGAGTCTCGGAAAGCCCTAATGTATTTTTCTAAGTACTAATCAATCTCGGGGACACTTTGTCTGTTTTTTAAATACCAAAGTGTTTCAGGAACCATTAGTGTGTGTTTTTTAAATGACAAAAAATCGCGAGAAACAATAGTGTCTTTTTTTTAGTGGCAAAGAAAGTCTGAAGTCCCTAGTGTTCCTTTTAAATGCCAAAAAATTTTGAAAACCCTCAGTGTCTTTTCAAATGCCAAAGAATCCCGGGGATCTCTAATGTGTTTTTTTAATGCCAAAGAGTCTCAGACCCTTTTTTTAGGGCAAAGAATGTCGGGAACTTCTAGTGTGATTTTTAAATTCCGAAGAATCTTGGATGCCAAACAGATTCAGGGATTCCTAGTGTCCTTTTGTAATTACCAACAAATCTCGGAAACCTCTAATGCCTTTTTTTAAATGCCTAAGAATCTCTGAAACCACTAGTGTTTTTTTGTGACAAAGAATGTAAGGGGTTCCTAGTGTCTTTTTTTAAATGCCAAACATTCTTCCCAGCCCCAACTGTCTTCTTAAATGCCAAAGAATTTCAGGGACCACTGGTGTCCCTTTTTTAAATGCCAAAGAGTCTAGGAAATCCCTAGTCTATTTTTCTAAGTTCCAAATAATCTCGGGGACCCATTGTGTATTTTTTTTAATATCAAAGTGTTTGGGGACTCACTAGTGTGTTTTTAAATGCCAAAGTATATCGAGAAACCATAGTCTTTTTTTAGTGGCAAGGAATGTCAAGAGTCCTTAATGTCTCTTTTAAATGACAAAAAATCTTGAGAACCCCCAGTGTGTTTTTAAATGCCAAAGAATCTCGGGGATCTCTGGTGTCGTTTTTTAATGCCAGAGTCTCGGAAACCCCTAGTGTATTTTTCTAAGTGCCAAAGTATCTCGGGAACCCCTGGAGTCTTTTTTCTAGTTATTGGCAAAGAATGTCCGGGTTTCCTAGGGTCTTTTTTTAATGGCAAATAATTTTGTGAACCCTCAGTATCTTTCTAACCATAAATCAAACTCCAGTAAAAAGTTAAAAACCATATTTCATGTACAGATAGTTTTAAACATTACACGTATTAATGTTGCTACACGGTGCAACCACAGCATCAAGAAGTCCATTAACGACATCCCTCGTCTTCTGGTTCTTACAAAGACCGTCAACATCTCTCCGTACGCAGCTCTTGAAGCCTGTGGCAAGACTGAAACCCCACATTCATCCACTACCCAATCCAACAACCCCCCAAAATACTCACGTGCAAATTTCAGAGCGTGTCGGAATGTCGTCTTTACCTTCATAGTTTTCAATAAACTGATTTATCTTGTGTTTGCACTCATTATTTTCGTTAGTTTCTTCCGAATCTTCCAACAGACACGGATTCGCCAGTTCTGCAAAAACCTAATTACTATTCAACTCTTGTAACCAACGCTCCAACAACCGAAAATCGACTCTCCAGTTTGTTTGCACATGAAATCGGCCACGGAAAGCAGGCTCTTGACACCCAGAATGGGAAGACCTTTAGCGTTTTGCGGAAGACAGTCGTCGATCACCTGAAGCAACGGTGTGATGCAGTTCAAGGTGTAGCTTTGGATGGATTCGCAAATCGTCAAGGAATCGTCGAATTTCTCGTCACATTCGATGAAAGATTTGACGGCTGCTTTCAGTTTTGGGCTAACTCCGGGGCATGTTTCCTCCAGCTTTTCCAATCTTTCGTCAAATTTTTCCATGCTTTGAGTGAGGAGCGTTTTGACGTATTTGGGCTTGACTTCTTCGAGGACTTCTTGGCACCTCACGCTGATAAAAACTGGAAATTGTGTTAAAAAAATATATTTTTTCATAAATTTTGAACTTACCAGCGAATAGGGCAAAAGCGACGAAAATGTATTTGTTCATGGTGGTTGTCGTTGACTCAACTGTTGCTAAAAATTGGAAAATGTCGCTTTATATATGGAACCTCCATCGACTATCCATATGCAGTTATTCCATGCGGTGGTGTGAAAGATGATTATCATTTTTACGAAAAAACAACCATTATACGGGGTGATTCAGCCTAAATGATGAATGTAATTTGTGGTTGGCGACAACTCGAAATACATTATTCATTTATTCCTCGATTCACACTAGATTTCAAAAATATCATAAATCCACGATTGTGGTTTTAAAATCGTCAAAACAAAGTGTCACTGTCACGCATTACATTTAAACTAAAACTTGATGGGAATAGTTCTCAGAAAACGAACCTACTGTTTTTTTTTTAATGCCAAAGAGTCTCAAGTATCCCTGGTGTCTTTTTTTAACGCCAAAATATCTCGGGGACCCCTAATGTGTTTATTTTAATATCAAACCAAACTTTGGGTTCCCTAGTGTCTTTTTTTTAATGCAAAAGATTCTCAGGGATCCCTGGAATGTTTTTCTAAGTGTCACAGGATCTCGAGGACCTCTAGTGTTGTTTTTAAATGTCACAGAATCGCGGAACTTCCTAGTATGTTTTTTTTTATACTAAAGAATCTCGGTGGCCCCTAGTGAGTCCTAGTGACTTTTTTTAAATTTCAAAAGTCTCGGGAACCCACAGTGTCTTTTTTTAATGCCAAAGAATCTTGGTAACCAGTAGTGCCTATTTTTAATGCCAAAGATTCTCTTGAGTTCCTAGTGTCTTTTTTTAAGCGAATCGAGATTTAAAGAATTTCGGAAGCCTCTGGTCTATTTTTTAGTGTCAAATTATCCCGGGAGCTCCTAGTGTATTTTTTTTAATTACCAAATAATCTCGGGGATACCTAGAGTGTTTTTTTCTAAATGCCAAATAGTCTCGGAAACCCCTAATGTGTTTCTTTAATGACAAAGCATCTCAGGGGCCACTAGTGTCTTTTTTTAAATACCAAAGAATCTCGGGGACCTCCCTAATGTCTTTTTTAAATGCCAAAAAAATCTCAGAAGCCGCCAGTGTCTTTTTAAATGCCAAAGAATCTCGGGGACCCTTAGAGTATATTTTTAAATGCCAAAGTGTCCCGGGAACCCCTACTGCATTTTTTAAGTGCCAAAGAATCTGGAGGGTCCTTAGTGTGTTTTTTAAATGCCAAAGTTTCCCGGAAACCCTTGTGTATTTTCTAAGGACCAAAGAATCTAGGGGACCCTTAGTGTGTGTTTTTTTAATGTCAAATCTCGGAGGGGCTCTACTGTCTTTTTTTAAATGCCAAAGAATGTCAGAAAACCCTAGTATGGCAAAGAATGTGAAGGGTCCCTAGTGTCTTTTTTGAATGCCAAAAAATCTTAGGAACCCTGAGTGTCTTTTTAAATGCCAAAGAATCTCGAGCACCTATGGTGCAATTTTTTTTAAATGCTAAGATGTGTCGGGAAACTCTAGCGTATTTTCGTGCGAAAGAATCTCGGGAAACTCTTAATGTCTTAATTCCAAAGATTCTCGGGGATTCATGGTGTCTTTTTTTCAATTCCAAAAAATCTTAGGAGCCTCAGTGCATTTTAAAATGCCAAATAATCTCAAGGACATCTGGTGTAATTTTTTTTTAATACTAAGGTGTGTCGGGAAATCTTAGTGTCCTTTCTTAATTCCAAAGATTCTTGGGGATTCGTAGTACCTTGTTTTAAATGCCAAAAAATCTCGGGAGCCTCTAGATATTTTTCTTAATAGCAAATAATCTCGGAGATCTTAGTGCGTTTTTTTAATGCCAAATAGTCTATGAAACTCATAGTGTCTTCTTTTAATGCCAAAGTATGTCAGGGATCTCAAATACCTTTTTTTAAATGCCAAAGAATCTCGGGGACCCTTAGAGTGTTTTTTTAAATACCAAAGTGTCTCGGGAATCCCTAGCGTATTTTCTAAGGGCCAAAGAATCTTGGGGACCCTTAGAAAAAAATCTCCGGAGCCGCCAGTGTCTTTTTAAATGCCAAGAAATCTCAGGGACCCTTGGAGCGGTTTTTTTAAATGCCAAAGTGTCTCGGAAATCCCTAGTGTATGTTATAAATAGCAAATCTTGGAGATCTTAGTGCGTTTTTTTTTTAATGCGAAATACTCTAGAAACCCATAGTGTCTTCTTTTAATGCCAAAGTATGTCAGGGATCCCTAATGTCTTTTTTTAAATACCAAAAAATCTCCGTAGCCGCCAGTGTCTTTTTGAATACCGAGAAATCTCGGGGACCCTTTGAGTGTTTTTTGAAATGCCAAAGTGTCTCGGGAACCCCTAGTATATTTTCTAAGGGACAGAGAATCTAGGGGACTCATAGTGTGTATTTTATTTAATGTCAAATCTCGGAGGGACTCTGCTGTCTTTTTTTAAATGCCACAAAATCTCAGGAAACCCTAGTATATTTGTTTTTGTGGCAAAGATTGTCAAAGGTCCCTAGTGTCTATTTTAAATACTAAAAAATCTTAGGAGCCCCAGTGTCTTTTTAAATGCCAAAGAATCTCGAGCATCTCTGGTGTATTTTTTTTTAATACAAAGATATATCGGGAAACCCAAGTATTTTCTAAGTGTCAAAGTATCTTGAAAACCCTTAGTGTCTTTTCTTAATGCCAAAGATTACTACTTGTTTATAATGCGCACATTCCTCTTTTTCCAAAATTAAAAACTGTAAGTTGTGCTTAATTTAGTGCTTTTACGTAAAAAACGCATAAATTAAACACTTAATACGACTGAAATCGAGAATGGATTAGGGTAGCGAGAGTAGTATATTTTTAAATTCCAAAGTATGTCGGGGATCCTTAATGTCTTTTTTTTTAAGTGGCGAAGGATCTCGGGGACCCTTAGAGTGTTTTTTTAAATGCCAAAGTGTCTCGGGAATTCCTAGTGTATTTTCTAAGTGCCAAAGAATCTGGACTTAATGTGTTTTTTTAAATGCCAAAGTGTCCCGGAAACCCCTAGCGTATTTTCTAAGGGACAAAGAATCTAGGGGACCCTTAGAAAAAAAAATCCGGAGCCGCCAGTATCTTTTTAAATGCCAAGAAATCTCGGGGACCCTTAGAGAATTTTTTTTTAATGCCAAAGTGTCTCGGGAACCCCTTGTATATTTTCTAAATAGCAAATCTTGGAGAACTTAGTGCGTTATTTTAATGCCAAATACTCTAGGAATCCCATAGTGTCTTCTTTTAATGCCAAAGTATGTCAGGGATCCCTAATATCTTTTTTTAAATGCCAAAAATTTCCAGAGCCACCAGTGTCTTTTTGAAAACCGAGAAATCTCGGACACCCTTTGAGTGTTTTTTGAAATGTCAAAGTGTCTCGGGAACCCCTAGTATATTTTCTAAGGGACAGAGAATCTAGGGGACTCATAGTGTATATTTTATTTAATGTCAAATCTCGGAGGGACTCTGCTATCTTTTTTTAAATGCCAGAAACTCCCAGGAACCCTTAGTGTTTTTTTTAGTGGCAAAGATTGTCAAAGGTCCCTAATGTATATTTTAAATACTAAAAAATCTTAGGAGCCACCAATGTCTTTTTAAATACCAAAGAATCTCGAGCATCTCTGGTGTAATTTTTTTTTAATACTAAGATATGTTGGGAAACCCAAGTGTATTTTCTAAGTGTCAAAGTATCATGAAAACCCTTAGTGTCTTTTCTTAATGCCAAAGATTATAGTAGATTTTTAAATGCCGAAGTATGTCAGGGATCCCTAATGTCTTTTTTTAAGTGCTAAAGAATCTCGGGGACCCTTAGAGTGTTTTTTTAAATGCCAAAGTGTCTCGGGAATTCCTAGTGTATTTTCTAAGTGCCAAAGAATCTGGACTTAATGTGTTTTTTTAAATGCCAAAGTGTCCCGGAAGCCCCTAGGGAACCCTTAGTGTGTGTGTTTTTTTTAATGCCAACTCTCGGAGGGACACTGCTGTTTTTTTTTAAATGGCAGAAAATCTCAGGAAACCATAGTGTTTTTTTTAGTGGCTAAGAATGTCAAGGGTCCCTAGTGTTTTTTTTTAAATAACAGAAAATCTCGGGAAATCATAGTGTGTTTTTGTAGTGGCAGAGGATGTTAAGGTTTTCTTGTGTCTTTTTTAAATGCCAAAAAATCTTAGGAGCCCCCAGTGTTTTTTTAAATGCCAAAGAATCCCGAGGATCTCTGCCGTCATTTTTTTATGCTAAGGTGTTTTGGGAGACCCTTGAGAATTTTTTAAATTCCAAAGAAGCTGGGGAACCTTAGTGTTTTTTTTTTAATATCAAAGTATCTAGTGACTTTTTTTAAATGTACAAGAAGTAGTTTCTAATGCCAAAGAAGCTCGTGTTTTTTAAGAACATGAAACAATCTCGGCAACCTCTAATGTTTTTTTTTTTAAGAATTTGAAAGAAGCCCAATTTTTTGACCGCTGTAAACGAACTTTGATGTAGTATAGGGTCTATTTTGCTTTAAAACATCGATAAGAGAATCCAAATTAAAGATCAACATAAAATAATAATACAGGAAAGAGTTAAGAACCATTTCATTTTAAACATACACCATCCAAAATTTTTTTATGTACAAACAATATCAAACTTTACACTGCGCTGAGATTCCTACAAGGAGACATCAAAGCCTCAAAAAGCCCATAAACGACATCCTTCGTCTTCTGGTTCTTACAACCACCCCCAAGACCGTCTCGGATACACTCCATATAGCTATTGGCAACCCTAAAACCAACGATCTCATCCCACAACCCCTTCCGACCACCCCAAAAATACTCACGCGCAAGTTTCAGCCTTCGTCGGACCATGTTCGCTCTGGGCATACTTTCCCACAAACTGATTCACCTTCTCTTCGCACACTTGGTCACTTTGCTCCGGAGGCTCCCAAAAGCACGGATTCGCCAGTTCTGCAAAAACCTAATTATCAACGAGCCCTCGCAACCACAGCTCCAACAACCAAAAATCGACTCTCCGGTTTGCTTGCACAGGAACCCGGCCACGGAAACCAGAGCTTTGAGAGCCATAGTGGGAAGAGCTCTGGCCATCGGGGGCAGACAGTCGTCGAACACCCGAATTAGTTGCTTGGTGCAGTTCAGGTTTGAGGTTTCTATAGTTTGGCAAATGGTCAAGGAGTCGTCGGATTTTTCGTCACATTGCTGGTACGCTTTGATCCCGGCTTTGAGCTTCTGGGTCACGCCTGGGCATTGTTGTTCGAGCTTTCCGAGGCCCGCCTTGATGTAGTGTTTGTTTTCGGCGAGGAGCTTTTTGACCTGTTTGGACTTGACGTTGTCGATGATGTCTTCGCTGAAGTCGCTTCTGACGCTGTCGATAACTGCAAATTAAAAATTATGAAAGTGGTTTTTAATTTTTTTTTGGACTTACCAACGACTAGGGCAAAAGCGACGAAAATGTATTTGTTCATCTTGTTCAGCTCGACTGTTGGCCAAAATTTTAAGATATCTCTTTATATAAGAAACCACCTCTAGTTATTATCGAATTAAATTTAGGTGAAAGGTTATCGATTTTGCAACGTAAATACGCTACATTGTATGGTATTTTTTATTGCTTTTCGTATTTACAAAAAATAAAATCACTTTAAACTGTCTAAATAGTTATTTATTAAAAACACAGATAGTATGTATTCCAAAAATTAAACTTCGTTAATGTGACTACAAGGTGCCACAATGGCGTCGAAGAGCCCAAGCACCGCATCCTGGGTCTTCTGGTTCTTGCACTGCTTATGGACATCTTCTTTCAGACAAGTCCTCAAGCTAGTGGCAGTGCTGTAAACCAAAACCCGTTACTACCATTCGACCACACCGCCGTAGTTCCAGAATACTAACCTACAAATTTCGCTCTGTGTGGGAATAGTATTTTCGTCGCCGAATTTTTCAGCCAACGCCACTGCTTTCTTTTCGCATTCATTCTCCGTCTCTTCGCCTCCTTCCGTTTCGTCGTCCTCCCACAAGCAAGGATTCACCAGTTCTAGACAAAAAAATCAGCTGAGTTAGCTCAACGTAGTACCAACGTACCAAAAATGCTCTCTCCTGTTTGTTTGCACAAGAAATCAGCCACAGAGAGAAGACTTTTCACACCCAACGTGGGCAAACCCTTGGCTTTTTGGGGCAAACACCCATCCACCACGTCCAGCAAGGGTTTCGTACAATTCAAAGTGTGGCTTTGAATTGCGTGACAAATAGTCAAAGAGTCGTCGACTTTGTCGTCGCATTCTTGGAACGACTTGATGGCGTGCTAAAAACCAAGTGCGTTAGAGTTGGCTACGATTCCAACAAAACCTACTTTCAACTTATCGCCAACTCCCGGGCAATGTTTCTCCAATTTTTCCAACCCTTCGTCCAGGTGCTCTTTGTTTCTTGTCAGGAGTTTTTTGACATGTTTTGACTTGACGTTTTCTATGACTTCTTCGCTGGAGTCGCAAAGGGCGCTGTTAATAACTAAAGGAAACAAATTTGACAAAAAGTACAAACTAGAGTTTCACTCACCAGCAAAAATGGCAAAGACGACGAACACTAACTTCATGATGATTTTGTTGTCTCAAAAGATATACTTAAGTGCAGACTTGATGCGTTCTCTTTATATAAGTGTGTTCACGATTGCAACAAAAAAATATTACTTATTTATGAAAAAAGGTTATCGGCGATTATTCAACGTACAAACATATTTATCATCATTTTTCGTTAATTAACTTCTTCATTATCGTTTTTACGCACTGTATCTTTTCAAGGTACATTTATACTAAAATCAAAATAGTGTTTCTTTATTTTATAACAAAACAGGCAAACTTGACTTAAGTAGACAAGGTGTAAACGAGAACTGTGATTCGTCGTTTCATGGACTTTAAGGACAATTCCAAGTCTACTTAAATCAATGTAGGTACGTGATGTTTTTAATAAAAATTACTATAATTATTTAATCAAAAGTCTGGTGTTTCCCAAGAAACGAGATAATGCCCAGACTGCTGAATTAACATTTTCATATCTTATCCAAAATGTCGACTGATGCAAGTTTTTAGCAGATAAGTGATGCAGTTTTTCACTAATCCACTTAATGTTTAAACAATAGTGTTGATGATATTTTCTAGAAAAATATACCAGTATTTTTCGTTTTAATGTTTGTTTACTGCAAAGTTAATTTTTATATTTACATAACTGTTAAACATAACAATATTAGATACGCTGAAGTTCATCAGGTTATAGGTTACAATTAAAAACACAGATATAACAATGTTTTCGAAACAATTTGACACAAAAATAATATTCGATTGTAAATATAGTGTCAAAAACACATCCAAGAACATTTTTATCTCCCTTTATCTGCGAGTTTTTTATTCCTTGCATGCTAATTTTGTTTTATTTTTCGTAGCAATATTTCAAACTTCACCTCTGTTTTCAATTAAACTTTATCAACAATTATTGTTTATAAATTCGTACCAAAATAGGCGTCTTATTAACATCTCGACCTTTAAACTTTGTGACTGCAATGAACTCCTGACCAGGACGAGTCACAATATTTGTAAATTTTTCTTCAATTAGCTGGAAAAGTTTGTTGAATTTATTGTGGAACATTTTTGCGAAAAGATGTAAGCAAACACATAAATTACGAATAAGTCAAAGATTACTGTGAAAGTTTGTCATAGTTTTGATTTGATTATGATTTACTATCAGATTTGGCTATTACCTTAATAAATAATAATAATTAGTTTGAAGGCAGTGATGACCACAAGTTGGTAATGTTGGTTGTCTATATAAGTGTGTGTAAATAATAAAATAATGAAACGGAACCAAAAATTCAAACAGTAAAAGTTTATTGAAGCATTATTATAATTACTAGAAAGTGTAAAAGAAAATAAATTACAATTATTAAAAACAGTTTGCTACAAATCATAACCTCAATTTGAACGTTGGCGTATTGCTGGTTGCATAACCAAAATTAATTTTCAATCAAACCTAAGGTTTTGTCTGTCAAAAACATATCAACCTCAATTTATTGCATAATTGTATCAATGAAATATTGGGTAACTAGTATTTCAAACATGCACAGTATCAAGGATTTATTTTAAAATTTGGGAGCAATGTTGGTTGCATAACTTAGCAAATATTATATTATTATTGAATTAATTTATATTTACAACCAATACAACAGATTCACAACGATATAATCTGACAGAGATTCTATGAATTTTTATTTATTTAAATATATTACACAGTCATAGTTAAAATACGCTAAAAAATCACTCATGACTCATATTGTTAAAATTATATTTGATTCATAATTTTAAACCACTTCGTCTACTAAAAAGCTTCCACCACCTCGTTGACGGTGTTGTACTCAATCTGGTTACTCCCACGATTGTTGCACGGGGCAGTAACAGCGTCAAACATCCCCATGAACGACTCCCTGGTGATTCCATTCCCACAAGACTCCTGCAGATGGTTATGCAGACACGGCTTCATCGACTGCGCCAATTCGCAGATCTCGGTCTTAGTCGGCGGCTTATTCTTGAACTGTTGCAACTTCGTCCTCACTCTGCGTTCGCACCTCATCGAACGATAATTATTCTTGAAGATACACGTGTTGGCGAATTCTGCAAAAATCAGTTAAAATCGCACTTAAACACCTACCACTACTCACCGAAGATGTGCTCGCCGTCGACCTTGCAGACGTAAGCCACCCCGGAATTGATCGCCTCGAACACCAGTCTCGGAATTTCTCTGGATTCTTCAGGCAGGCAGCTTTCGAACAACTCGATGAACGGCTTCGAGCACCGCAGGAAGTGGTTTTTGATAGCGGAGCAAGCCGTTTCGGCGTTCTCGTCGACTTCGTTAGAGCATTGTTTGAGCTTGGTTAGGGCTTCCTGGAACGTTGGGGTGAGAAGGGGTTGTGTGAAAGGGGAGACTTACGTCTAGTTCGTCGTCTTTTCCGGGGCAGATGCTTTCCATTTGGGTGCGAAGGCGCTCAATCTGGCTGCGTTCTCGCAGGTATTGCATGTACTTGGAGGTACTCATGCTGGTGTCGGAGGTGCGGTAGGACGGGGAAAGGTAGCATGTTGCTACATTGATGACTGGAAAAATGGTCAAAATTTTATTCTACGTTTCTGAAAATATGGCGCCGGGAGATATTAGCTTGAGGTCAAACACGGTTTGATAACTGAACTTTGACTCGTGCGCAAGTGATGGTGAAGTCAAATTTTAGAAAGACTTCCAACCGCTTTTTGAATTTTTTTATTTCTTTTTTAAAGCATTTATTTTGACCGTAGAAGTACCATAAAAATATTTACCCGCAAATAGTCCGATAATAGCGACAACGATTTTCATTTTGAAACTCTTTGATAAGCTTGTTAACACCAACTAAAAATTTCCGGCACAAGCATGTGTATTTATAATGTGTGCTGCACCATGTTTATGTTTATCGAAGATAACATGTAATTATAAGCATGATCACCGACTGAATCCATGTGTAGGGTCACTCAGTGATAATGATTCTTGGATTTGTTTATAAAATTAAGAAATTATCACCAACACGAAAAACTCAGCAACTGCGTCACTTTTGAAAACACATATAAATGTAATTAGTTTTTCCTTTTTAGTTAGAAACAAAATTTGAATAACAATCAATTTGAATTTCTAAATTGGTTTTCATTTCGTTTTATGTGAATCAAGTAATGAATATCAAAATTAAAGCAACGAATTACGTCCCCAGTGAAAATTTCGACGTGACTGATTATCCCCTCAGGACTTCATTGTCAAAGGCAAAGTCAAAAGCGTATAAAACGATAAAGATTTGAAAAACATCACTCTTATCGAAATGTTTGTGTTTCACAACTTGCTACGAAACGGTTTTATTGGGGCAAAATTAACACTAGTCCTTGGAATTTTCAGCTACTCACTTCGACAAGAACTTAAGTGCTTTTATCAATCAGGGTCTGATCAATATTTTAAAGTCAAACTGACTTTGAACACCACGATGTCGGTAATAATGACTTTATTTTTGATAATCAGTACAATAAAGTCACTGCAAGACAAACATAGCGTGGACTACAGTACAGGGTGGCCACAAATACTTATTTTTCATGTGACTGGGCGTATCGTTTTTGACGTTACGAGTCAAGACGATTGGGCCCGAACGTTACAAACACAACTGATTATTTATGTTGGCGAATTTACACTGTGTGTGTTATTTATGGATATGTTCAAATTTTTATTAAATATAAGAAAATCGATAAATTCGATCAATGAGGAAACAAAGCAGCTGTCAGTATTAGTAAAGGAGCAACAATTTAACCACTTCAAGTTGCAAAATGTGGACAATTTAATTCATAAACACAACGAGTGTTTAGAAATGATCGAATCATTCAACTCCGTTTATGGTGTTCAAATTGTCCTGATAATTTCAACCGTGTGTGGTCACTTGGTGCAAAGTGTCCACACTGTATACAACGAAAACGAAGTGCACAACAAACACCACTTGCGTATTATTTGTGCAAAAATTTGGCTTTGTGTTTCATATACGGTGAGCCACACTTAACAATTTTGATTTTTTTTTATTTCAAAAAAATTTTTTAGGTGCTTTCGTTCATATTGGCACATTTATGTTGTGTCATATTTCTAGCCTGCAAAAAAACTTCTATTATTTGCTATGAAATTTTGCTGCATTTGTCTGAAAAAGAAGACGAACTTCGTTCCACTATAAGAAACATTTTTTTGGTTATCTGTCAAATTAATCATCGGAATTTCAATTTCACAGCTGGGGGATGTTTCAGAGTTAACTACACCATGGTCTTTTCCATCTACGGAATCATAATTTCGTCTGTAATGATATTCACTTAATCTTATATTCTTATATTTTGCCTTTTTTTCTTAATATGTGTAGTCACCTTTTCACAACAAGCAACTTAAAACATGTTTAAAATGGTAAATTTTGGATAGGGAAATATCGATTTTGCAATTACGCTCCGCTCCTCGGTCTGACAACGAATGAAAAATTCATTAAGATTGAGATCGAGACGGATGGGTGGGGCTTCTATTCTGGTTTTCTTTTTTAATTAATACATTTAGTTTTCTTTGTATAACACGATTACTTAAGAAGATATTCCACATGGTAATTTCTCGTAGAAAAATGAAGATTTTACAATTAAGCTTCGCCTCATAATTGCAAAATCCATATTTCCTTGCAAAAATGTACCATTTTAACCTTGTTTTAAGTTTCTTGTTGTGAAAAGTTAGCTATGTACATTAAGAAAAAAAAGGCAAAATATAAACCCCGCCCACCCACCCCCATTTCAATTTCAAAAATTTAAAACTCGTTTAAAATGGTAAATTTTTGTAAGAAAATCTTTATAATTTTTGGTATATTCGGAAACTTCAAAATGTTATTTTTTTTGTAATTTTCAGCCTTTAAAATCGTAAGAATCTTTAAAGTCTTCGGAAATTGTTAATATATTTTTAATCTTTAGAGTCTTTTTGGAGACTTCGAAATATCCACAGTCTTCAGAAATATCTGGGACTCTTGGAATATCTGGAATCTCTAGAGTCTCGGAATATCCAAAATTTTTGAATTTCTGGAATAATGGAATTTTTATAAATTTTAGATTCTTCAGAATCTCCAAAATTGGTAAAATCTTTGAAATCTTCAGAATTTTCGGAATTTTTGGAATCTTCAGAAGTTTCAGAATTTTCGAAATTTTCAGGATCTTGAGAATTTTCAGAATCTTCTGCATTTTGAGAAACAAAAGAAAATTCAGAATCTTCAAAATCACCAGAATCTTCGGAATCTTTAGAACGTTTAGAATCTTTCGACTCTTTAAGATTTCTAAAACCTCTGGAATCTTTGAAATTTTTTGAGATCTTTGGAATCTTTCTACAACATATTCTTCACATTCTTCGGAACCTCAAAATTCTTACATTTTTTGGAATCTTCAGTTTTCGAATTATTCAGAATCTTGAGAAAGATTAGAATCATTAAAATATTTAGAGTCTTTAGGATCGCTAGGATATTTAAAATATTTAGGACTTTTGGCATCTAGAACCTTTACAATTGTTTACAATCCTTGGAATCTTCAGAATTTCCAGAATCTTTAGAATTTTTGGAATCTTTAGAATCTTTATAATTTTTAGCATATTCGGAAATTTCAAAGTGTTAATTTTTTTGTAATTTTTAGCCTTTGAAATCTTCGAATCGTAAGAATCTTTTGAATCTTCGGAAATTGTCAATATATTTTTAATCTTCAGAATCTTTTTGGAGACTTCGAAATATCCAGGATCTTCAGAAACATTAGAATCTTCAGAATCTTTAGAATCTCTAGAACCCGGGAATATCCGAAATCTTTGAAAATTTCCTAATCTCTAGAGTCTCCCAATATCTGGAACTCTTGGAATATCTGGAATCTCTAGAGTCTCGGAATATCCAGAATTGTTGAAATTTTTGAAATTTCTGGAATAATAGAATTTTTATAAATTTTATATTCTTCAGAATCTCCAAAATTGGTAAAATCTTTGAAATCATCAAAATTTTCAGAATTACTGGAATCTTCAGAAGTTTCAGAATTTTCGGAATCTTCAGGATCTTCAGAACTTTCAGAATCTTCTGCATCTTGAGAAACAAAAGAAGATTTAGAATCTTCAAAATCACCAGAATTTTCGGAATCTTTAGAACCTTTAGAATCTTTCGACTCTTTAAGATTTCTGGAACCTCTGGAATCTTTGGAATTTTTGAGATATTTGGAATATTTCTACAACATTCTTCAGATTCTTCTGAACCTCAAAATTCTTACATTTTTAGAGATCTTCAGTTTTCGAATTTTTCAGAATCTTTAGAAAAATTGGAATCTTTAAAATATTTATAGAATCTTTAGGATCGCTGGGATATTTAAAATCTTTAGGATTTTTGTGATCTTTAGAAGCTTCAAAATTGTTAGAACCCTTGGAATCATTAGAATTTAAAGAATCTTTGGAATTTTCGGAATATCCGGAATTTCTGGAACCTATAGAATCTTTATAATTTTTAGCATATTCGTAAACTTCAAAGTGATAATTTTTTTGTAGTTTTCACCTTTGAAATCTTAGAATGGTAAGAATCTTTAGAATCTTCGGAAATTGTCAGTATATTTTTAATCTTCAGTCTTTTTGGAGACTTCGAAATATCCAGAATCTTCAGAAACATTAGATTCTTCAGAATCTCCAAAATTGGTGAAATCTTTGAAATCTTCAAAACTTTCAGAATTTTTGGAATCTTCAGAATTTTCAGAATCTTCTGCACCTTGAGAAACAAAAGAAAATTCAGAATCTTCAAAATCACCAGAATCTTTGGAATCTTTAGAAGCTTTAGAATCTTTCGACTTTTTAAGATTTCTAGAACCTCTGGAATCATTGGAATTTTTGAGATCTTTGGAATGTTTCTACAACATATTCTTCACATTCGGAACCTCAAAATTCTTACATTTTTTGGAATCTTCAGTTTTTGAATTATTCAGAATCTTCAGAAAGATTAGAGACTTTAAAATATTTAGAGGCTTTAGGATCGCTAGGATATTTAAAATCTTTAGGATTTTTGGGATCTTTAGAATCTTCAGAATTGTTAGAATCCTTGGAATCTTCAGAATTTCCAGAATCTTTGGAATTTTCGGAATATCCGGAATTTCTGGAACCTTTAGAATCTTTATAATTTTTAGCATATTCGTAAACTTCAAAGTGATAATTTTTTTTGTAGTTTTCACCTTTGAAATCTTAGAAACGTAAGAATCTTTAGAATCTTCGGAAATTGTCAGTATATTTTTAATCTTCAGAGTCTTTTTGGAGACTTCGAAGTATCCAGGATCTTCAGAAACATTAGAATCTTTAAAAATTTCCTAATCTCTAGAGTCTCCGAATATCTGGAATCTCTAGAGTCTCGGAATATCCAGAGTTTTTGAAATTTTTTAAATTTCTGGAATAATGGAATTTTTATAAATTTTATATTCTTCAGAATCTCCAAAATTGGTAAAATCTTTGAAATCGTCAGAATTTTCGGAATCTTCAGGATCTTCACAATTTTCAGAATCTTCTGCATCTTGAGAAACAAAAGAAAATTCAGAATCTTCAAAATCACCAGAATCTTCGGAATCTTTAGAACCTTTAGAATCTGTCGACTCTTTAAGATTTCTAGAACCTCTGGACTCTTTGGAATTTTTGAGTTCTTTGGAATCTTTCTACAACATATTCTTCAGATTCTTCGGAACCTCAAAATTTTTACATTTTTTGGAATCTTCAGTTTTCGAATTATTCAGAATCTTCAGAAAGATTAGAATTTTTAAAATATTTAAAGTCTTTAGGATCGCTAGGATATTTAAAATCTTTAGGATTTTTGGGATCCTTAGAATCTTTGGAATTTTCGGAATATCCGGAATTTCTGGAA